GAAGAACCTTCTGACCCATCCTCTCATTGATATTGTGGTCACACTGACTTAGAGTGTAGTGGACCGGGGTAATGTGGTGATACGGTTGTGTGTGAAGGCAGTAGCATCCATGCTCGGATGGTCATGGGTGAGGGCTGCTGATGTACAGAGTGTGCAGGGGAGATGCAGGAGACAGCAGAGACAAACCCATTCGGCGAGTAATCGTCTGCCAGCAGTGTTCTGATTGCTTTCAGAAGGAAATTCACAGCAATGCACCCAGCTTGTCATAGTTTTGTGAACATCATCAGCGCACATCAGGGTCTTATCCAACATGAAAACGTCTGCCAGTTCAGAGGACATTAATGTTTATTAAGATAAATGTTTGAATGTATATTAAGTGGTTTTGTCATGGTTCTGCCCTTCGTGATCATACTGATAGGGTTGGAGGATGTTGTTGCGGACCCAAACGCAGATTAGTAGGAGACAGAGATGCGTTATTGCAGATTGAATGAAAAGTAGATGGCAACAGAAGCACAAAATGAAACCAAAACCAGGAGATGCCATGGAGAAATACACATTATAAGCAAAGCAATGAAGAGGATCCAGAAATGGGGAACTGCACAGGAGGTGTATATATGAGGGATAGAACAAAGAATGGGCTAATCGGCTGATATGGAGCAGGTGTGAATAGAAGTAACTAGAAGGGAGCTAGGGAAAAGGACACAGGCACAACGGGGCAACAGAGAGATCAAAAAATGCAACACTGCTTAAATATAAGTAGAAAACAAAGATGACACAAAATTGAAAAGAAACCAATGAGCAACAAAACAGAACAATAACTGAAAACTCAAAAAGAAGTCCACAAAGGGCAGAAACATTACAGGTTTAGCAGTGCGTCACTTTTTCCCTTTTTTTTAAAAAAAACAATAGCTGTTGCTCTCTGCAAAAGCCTGCTCTGTCTCAGACAGAATAATTCACACGTTATGACTGGCTTATATACAAATTGTTTCAGGGGCATGTTTAGATAGAGATGGCTGGTAATCATGGGGTGACATGATTGTAAATTTCTCCCCTGTGAGATCAATAAAGTCAATCAATCAACTGATATGACACGATGGAGTGGTTTTACTATGACATAAATACTTTAAAGAATACTACAGGTGCTGGGTATAGTTAGTCAGTCAATGAAAAATAATTAGCAAACACATCTCCAAACTGAAGACATTATTATGGCAGCACAGCATGAAAGAAAATTCAATATCCTGATATTTGCTCTCCCTCCTGCTTTCTGGTCAAACGGGGAACACCCCAGGGATTTAAAAAAAAAAAAAAAAAAAAAAACGCTGCTTATTTTGCCCCATAGATTTACTTGTGTCTGCAATATGTGGGTGGAATACTAAGTTTAATAAGAGTTCACATCAAAGCAGCAATCCCTCATCTTTTCATTTAGAACAAATTACAGCAAATAAACTTTCCGTTTTTGCCATCTGTTACTGAAATATGTCCTAATTAAGAGAGATAATCTTGTGATGTGTCATCAATAACACAAGAGCCAAAAATTATTTAGATTTTTACATGAAAAACAAAACAGACAGCTACTGATCACACTGAACTTATAACAATCCTGTTCGTGTTTTTTTGTCTTTTTGTGTCAGGCTCTATACAATGCAATGAAAATCCCTGCTAGGTGGTGCGAAGTACCCAGAATGCATTTCAGGGTGACATTTAATTGCACATAAAGATGTTCAACCTCAGTGACCGGATGTGAAACAATGAGGAAGCTGATCAAGGATCCTTTGTTAGCATCACTATGTTTGACATGAGATCAATTTTTCGGAACGAGACGATCTAACGACATCCTGGTCAAAGTGCTTGGGTAAAAGCAACAATAAAATTTAACGGTCTGTTAAAGCTAGTAGGCAGACTCCCATAAAGGTATTAAGATGCACAATAATTCTGCAATAAATAGCTCGATGTTGATGTTGCGGAGATGAAATCCATTACTATCCTCCAACTCTTAAAAAAGTGCCTTTGCCTCTCTTTTGTTTTTGAACACCTGGTCAAAGAGAGGGCAGAACAGTCATTATTCAATAACTATGAGGATGCAAAAATATTTGCCAACCTCAGCAACCCTTTATTTGATTTATTAACATTACAAAAACCAAACACAGAGTTCATCTCAATTTAAATCCCATTATTAGACCTGGTTTTGAGTACGGAATTTTTTTTTTACTTCAAGTCTTACATTTATTAAAAACACCCAGAGTATAATTACATTTCTGTTGATTATGCTCTAATTTTGGTAGAAATAATGAATTTATAGCACTTTATCAATTCCAAGGACCTTAAAGTGCATCCGACTGCAGTTATTCGTTTATTCCCACACATTTTCTTAAGCTGATTTTGGTTTCCCTCAATGGACTATCATTTTGTCTATGGCCATAATTAGTTTAAAAACAATATCAAAATTAACAGGTCATAATCTATAATTTGTTAGAAATGTCTTATTCAAGCTAAGATATTTAATTAAAGACAGAAGAAAGACAGAATTGTAGATTAAGCACTTCAAAAAGCATGCCTTAGGCTGTGTTATACAGGATATTGTTTCACAGAGTACTAATTAACCCAAAAGAAGGGTTTAACGTTGTGATCCACGATATCTTGACCTTATTTTCATAATTTAAAATTCTAAAAGTTTGGATGAGTAGAAATTGCCCCCATCTGACAATAAACATGATTTATAGGGTGGATTTTCTCTCTGTAGAAAGAGGGGAAAAAATATCTATACTGAGAAAAACAAAACCTGATTTAAAAAAAAATGTCTGTCTTTTTATTGCCCAGTTCCTTTCACCATAACATCTACATCATTATACAAAAACCCTTGACACTGCTGTATGTTGAAAATCCCATTTGAATCCTCAGTGTGATGCCAGAGGCTGGACGGATGACGCCAGTGTCGCCAGGTCGGGGGATAACACATAAGGTCGGGGCCTGCGGTGATGCTCCCTGATGGCGCAATTAGTGCTCTGCTACAGGAAAAAATGTGAGACAGGGTTTCTCCTCTGAACCAGAACATTGTTGCACTAATTAATAACTCAGTCGCATCAGAGCAGCTTTGGCACAGTAGCAGCAGGAACAATAATAATGGCAGCAACAGGAAACTGGAGCAGGAGGAAGGATATGATGCTGCGTTCACTAAAGAAGCTGCTCAGTAAATGTCTTTAAATTATTAAACTATCGGAAGCGTATTGATATTTCACTACCAGTTTGTCAGATTTCACCTGCACCAGACCTCATCTTAAAGTTTGGCCTTTGACTTTAAGTTGAGAAATGTCTGATACAGAACTAAGAGAAATTGAGAGAGACCCCCAACCTAACTCTAAGCACACAAGAAACAGTGATTATTGATTTCTTGATAATCAATAAGATATATTTACTGACATTATAATTGGCAAAAACATTTGCCTTTAGTTTATTTGCTCTGTTTGCTCTTTTAGCTTTTGTTTTGTTTGATGGCTGATCTCTTGTGATGAGCTCCAAGTCTTTGAGGCCAATGTCTCCATTGGTTTACTCTATGGAGTGTTCATCAGATCAATGTTTGGGACTTTGATTTGATTGCACCAAAATGTTGACCTTTCTTCACAAAAGTAGCAAACTCTTCTTAAACCTGTGTTTTTAAAATGAATAAGTCAGTTTAAAGACCAATCTTTCAATGTCAGGACCCCCCAACAGTGACATAGCAGAGAAACACCATTTTCAGTACTTTAGACTGCGTGACCTGCATTTTAAGACCTTCAGTATAAAGTTAGTCACGACTCACGAGTCAAAGCTGCTAATGGGAGTTTTTCTCGAAGAAGTTAGAATATCTATTGATCCAATACTGTTACTGATGTATTAAAATACAGTAGACGGGTGAAACCTGAGGAGGGCGCCACACTGACGGTTTTATACACAAATGCAGAATTGAAACAACTGTGTAGTAAATTGTCAAAATATACTAGCCTAGTAAACTAGCCCCACAAGGCAGGGGCCACAATCATTTTTGCCTAAGAGTTTGGTCTAGCCTCGATCAATGCCCCAGGCCCTAGAACTGGCGGGCCAATCACAACGCAGAGATGTGTTTTGAATTTCTGGATGCAAAGCGGGCGGGGTTTTGAGGGCGTGACGACAAAGCTGTGCGACGCTGAAAGCACAACAAGGAAGATGGCAACAACTATTGAACAGTTCTCGTTTGACTCAACTTTGGAATCAGTTTTGGAAGGCTCTACACTCATTCCTTTTTAAGGACGTATTCGCCGTTTTATCGACAGGTTGTTTGTTTACACTCCCCCACCAGCTTTCTGTCGTGCTTCCTACATCACAGTCAGTTGCGCTCATTGATCAGACGTTGGCCAATAGGCCCAGACAGCAGTTTGAAAGGCAACGGGTTGTTATCCTCAACAATCTTCCGATGTGTCATTCATCGGGACCAGACTAAATTACACATTTAATCTCACATTTAGTCTGGTTTATCAGGCTAAAAATATATGGTTTGCAGCAAAAAGAGGGTCAACTTGGGGTTTAGTTTTTAAATTGCATTTTTGTTTGCATTGCTCCCATTACCTTATCTTGCACTTGTTTTGCATGTTAGGAACAGAGTTACCATAGCATGCTTGGTGTGAGGGATTGCCTGCGAGTCAATGAGTCGATGCAATCAACTGGTTTTCCTTAGACAGAACTTTGAGTCAATTTTCCTGTATGATCTGGTTGAATTTTAAAATTGAGATGACAAGTGCTGTGAATTGGTGCTATATAAATACACTGAATTGAATTGAAATATCACAGTGGCATGATGTTGGAACTAATATGTGATCATGCACCATTCTTCCTAACACAACTCGTGATCTCATACAAAGTCCTCGTGATGCCACCACTTATACCCTCTGCTTCTTATAAATTAAATCCTTTATTCTGAGTCTCGTGTTTCGAGTGCTTTTTAGTGGTTCCTTGTGATATTTTCTTCTCTTTGATGGCTTTTTTAGGCTTCTTCTGAAAAACACAACAACAACAATACGCAGTGACCCTAACTGGATAAAGTGTAGTGAAGTCTCTAAACTGATTTTTAATGAGGTAAGAATCTGCCATATGAGTTTATGGACGTTAAAATCGTTTTTCTCAGGAATTTTTCTTTGTGTGTAAATCCTAAGCATTACAGTAGTGCAGATAGTGATCAATATTACTCCAGTTAAAGCTTTATGAGCAACAACCAGCAGCTCTTCTCACAGAATGCTGCGATTGAGCAGTCGATCAGTCCTGCCTTTAAACGTGGGAAAAAAGATGCTGCTTTGATGAAGCCGATCACAAGTTTGTTTCTGTTTGCATCACAAAAGATTATTTTAGATACACAGCAGTAAGAAAAGGATTGTGTAGGGGAAAAAAATGTGCCATTTATTCATGCATTTGCCGCAAATGCTTTGTTACACCTACAAAGAAAACCTCCCGATCAGACACTGATGTGTTTTTCACATTGTTTTTCAGCTGCATCCTGATAAAAGTGGTTCAGAGTTGACTGACAGGTAGACCGATGATCATCGTAATGGCTCTTTGCTTTCAGGGCATCTTCTCTGTATATTTTTTCGATCTGGATTAATATTTTAACGCCTTTTGGCCATAATCATATCCGAGCTCCACACTCTGAGCCCAGGCCCAGGCCTTTCATGAAACGGCCCATTAAAGCAAACTTATGAGGTTATAAAACAGCTGAATGACCACATGTTTACAGAGCTAAAAAATGTGAGATGAAGGGAAATTATACTGTGTCTGCACACTAATAACCGTAATGGGGGAGATATTTCACTGCTCAAAGAAAAAAAAAAGGCAACATCATCTCGAGCTTGAGTTCTCTGGTCAAACATATGCTTCCTCCTGGGGGATAAAGTGCTGCTATATGATTACACATCGGATGTAATAAAAAAGAGGAAGTGATGTTTCTTGTACTTATTTTACCTGCATTGTTGCAGCTTTGTTCCATCAATTTACTTTAAAAATCCCTCTGTATATTTTGCATGCTTCAGTATTAACAATAGAAAAATCAAATGCTCTCTCTTGTTTTGCAGAATATTTGTTGTTGCAGGGCTCTAACTATCATAAACCCCCCTAACACTATATTTATTATTATGAATATATTATTTTAAGTTATTTTTTTGTGCATTTACCAGTTTTACTTGATTTGTTGCCATAAAAACCAAAGATATTAACATTTATCCTTTCTTTGCATAGGTAGTGGTAAAGAGTCAGGCAGGGAAAGCAGGTATTAACCTTTGTGTTTTTCTTCTTTTTCAGGTTGTGAAATTTTGGAGCGTCCCCCTGAGGCCCCCTGCTGACTGATAACAAGCACTGCGTGGGAGCTCAATGAGAGTGTGCTCCTAACAAGCACTCCACCTGTTTCTACGTGTGTGTTGGGGTGTGTTTGTGTGTTGGGCACCATGCTGTGGACAGTGCTGCTGGCGTTGTTAGTGCTTCTCCTGCTGCAGACTCAACTCTCTGTTTGCTTAAGGGATCTGCGCACCAGGGGATCCATTTCGCCTCTTCACTCTTCTCCATCTTCTCCCTCCCTCTCCACATCCTCATCATCCTCTTACAATGCTACCCAGCAGCGGCTGCCGGGAGCTATTATCATTGGTGTGCGTAAAGGAGGCACCAGAGCCCTGCTGGAGATGCTCAACTTGCACCCAGATGTGGAGGTGGCGAAAGCTGAGGTAAAACAGCAGTAATGTCACATGAAGGCAAAACTGACATAAACATTGGTGTGTTCCTGGGTTTATATAAAATCTTTGTTCATTCTTAAGTCTTCTTGAAGCATGTTTATAAGCTCCCGAAGCTGAACTCAAACAAGCCATGGAAATGTCTTTCAATCAGTTAAAACTTTGGGTAAAGGTTTGAAATCCTCTGGGTTAACATCTAAAAAGGCAATAGTTTGAAGAAGTCAAAATCTGACAGGCAAATTTTCTATTAAAAATACGATAAAAGGGGTCTTGGACATTACTACTTAAGAGAAATGACAGTATGTATATTTGTTTATGTAGAATTTTTTGATTAAACCTATTAGGTGGCACATGTGCAATGTTTTGATGTGAAACTAAAGAGGGAATTCTATGTTGCCTCTTATAACTTTGAAAAGTGATACGAAAAAAAAAAGAAGCAAAGACTCAATCTGAACACCTCAAATGATAGCTCCTAGATTCTATCTCTTCACCTTTCGCGAGGCCAACAGTGGGAACACTATCCCATGTAAAATAGGAACTCTGCACTGATGTTTTGAATCAGGCTTTCAGGCCTACAGATGTCATTACCAGATGGATCGCATATAAATAAGAAATAGGGATTACGGTCATCCAGAAAAAAACACAAAAATAACCAAAATTTAGCCAACAGATGAAGCTCTCGGTTATAGAACCCACAACATATGGAAGTGTGCACATTTGCATGTCTACACATAATGTATTTTGTTTTAGATTCCATGAGGTGGGATGCACCTATATGGCCTGAGATAGAAATAAGTGAGAAAACACATAGCACCTAGCAATGGCTAGACATCAGGTGGTCCCTGTGCTAAATGCATTGACCCTGAAGCTTCCTGCTTCATGGTCCTATTTCATTCCCAACTGCCAGCATTATTTCGACAGCACTTATTACAGGGACCACTTCTGCCATGGTTTAAGGGTCCAGAGAAAAAAAATGGTATTTGGATAGAGCTGAAGTGTTTAGTCTTTAGGGATTCAATGGAACAGCCTTGCAATGGCTTCAGCGGCTGTTGCTCTCCCTTTTTCTGGCTTACTGCCCCACTTCAACACCTTGTTCGCTCCCTCCTCCTCCACTCTGAAACACACTCACTCCCTGGGTATGCTTTAACACATTGCTCCTGTTTTCTGTAAATAATTGCCAAAGTTGACAGATGTTAAACAATCTGTTAATTGTTACCTGTAGGTCATTCTACTCAACACCAAAGTCAAAATAATTCCATAGTAATTCTACAGAGAGATTTGAGTGATATTGGTGCATCTACAAACTTCTTAAGCTTTGTTTTATTTTACTATATAATTTTGTTCAACCTTTTTTTATTTAAAGGACAAGCTTATTTTTAGTTGATAAACGTAAAGAGCATCTTTCCTTCCAATTGCCTCATGCACCACTTACTGTATATTGAGATCCAGTTTAACATTTTTAAGTGTTTTGGTTTACATTTTATATGTTTTCATTTATAAGTTCACAATAGTAGCTGAGGAAGAACAAGAAGAGGTATAATGTATTGTTCAAAAAGTGTCTTTTTATTGGTATTTAGCTCTTGCTGTGAAGTTATTGCAAGTTATGAATAAACAATTGGGGGTAAAAGCTGTGGTCTTGTTTTGCACAAACCATGAACCAAAACGGTGGGTGGAAAAGCGAGGTAGGTATCGTACCTTGGGCTACCTGTACCATTGCATCCCTGGTAGACCCGCAGGTATGACTAGGGTCTGTTATGTGGATCAAACCAACGCTCTACGTTTCTCAACAATGATGATTAAATCACAAAAAGTTATGCCGCTAAACCTACATATATAAAAGATCTTGGATTTCGTGCAGTGGCTCTCTACCTAGGGAAGCAGTTAATAATAATAATAAAAAAGAAATCTGTGTTTGCTAATAAATGCTAAGATGCTTTATTTTTTTTACTTTCAGCCTAGATGGGCGCCCTCCTGGGGTTTATACCATATATTCTTCATTTTAAAATTAGAAAATTTGAAGGAGCTTTCTGTGTTTATGAACCAGTCCAGACCGGTTCAAAAGGCTAAATATATTTAGACTGGCTGGACTTCAAAATGATAATGGTGTTCTGAATACACCACCTTCAAAACAGAATCTTCAACTTTATTTGATTTAATTTACTCTATTTGATTTATTAAATTCTATTCAACCCCTAATTCTATTTGCAAAAAGTCCTTTTGAAACACAGTTTATCAGTCTCTCTGTGCAACCATCCATTTCTCCACTACTCTGTCGGTCATTGTTCATGCAGAAATTGCTCCTAATAAAAAGTTACACTTTAAACTGGATGCAATTCAGCTGATTTCAATATTCTTCAGAGCTGCCTGGTTTAAATGAGATGCAGAATTTAAGTCTGAAGAACGACTGGCTTTTGTGCTCCTTCACTCATGATCCAGAATATTTAAAATGTTTCTCAGAATCAAAAGAGCTCTTCTGTTGTTGCTCATCTTCTTTTTAAAATCTTTCACAGGTGCATTTCTTCAACGTGGAGGAGCATTATCGCCGCGGTCTGGCTTGGTACCGAGCTCAGATGCCCTTCACCCTCCCAGGCCAGCTTACGGTGGAGAAGACGCCTGGCTATTTTGCAGCTCCTCAGGTTCCAGCTCGTGTGTGGGACATGAACCCTGCCGTCCGGTTGTTGCTTATTGTCAGGGATCCGGCAGAGAGGCTGGTGTCTGACTACACCCAGGTACTTCACAACCGCCTGACACAGCACAAGCCCTACCAACCGCTGGAGGAGCTTTTGCTCCACAAGGGCCACATTAACCAGGGCTACAAGGCACTGCAGAGGAGCCTGTACCATCTGCATCTCGCCCGCTGGCTGGAGGTCTTCCCCAGGGAGCAGATTCATGTGGTGGATGGTGATGCGCTTATCAGGGATCCATTCCCAGAGCTGAGGAAGGCGGAAAAGTTTCTTGACCTGCCACCTAGAATAAACCCAAACAACTTTTACTTCAATACCACCAAAGGCTTTTACTGCCTTCTGTCCGCTGGACATGATAAGTGCCTGGATGAGTCTAAAGGCAGACCACATGCTCCACTGAGCACGCAGGCCTTGAAGAAGCTCTGTCAGTACTTCAGGAAGCCCAACAAACGTTTTTTTGAGATGGTGGGACGGTCGTTTTCCTGGTGCTGATCCAGAAACTCCTGAAGGACACAAAAAAACAATCAGGGACAGAAGGAAAGGGACACTTTGTGTTTCTGATGATAGATTACTGACGCAAGATAATTTTTTTTTATCTAAATACCTTCTCAGGTATAAAAGTGGCCAAATTAGTTGGACACTTAGAAGTGAAACTGAAAATTTGGCCGAAAAAACTCGAACCAAGCCGGTGCCTCCTCAGAAATGACGAAGCTTCAACTGTGCCATTAAAATGTTTCATGCGACTTGTTTTTTTTTTGTGATGTTAAAGAAATGGACAAGAGGTAAGCAGAGGGTTGCAACGTTTGATTGCACTATGACCAAATTGCATTAAAAGTCAATCAGTGTAAATATTCTCAGAAGAAAAAGCTCTCGCTGTGATTTCTAAACTTCTGTAAAAAAGGTTTATCTTTGTAATCGGGTTTGCTTTCCTTTTTTCTGTTAGATTTAGGTTAGCTTAGAAAAAATTAATGCTGTCTTTCTAAATATTTTCTTAACTTTTCAACTTTTTTCACATTTTGTCACTTCAAACCATAATCTTACATGCATTTTATTGGACGTAACAAAAATAAACACATTTGTTTTATATATACTTTCAAAAATTTTACAAAACTTGGAATAGATGTCAATTGAAAGCCATTTATTGAAATACACCTCAACAAAAACAGTGCAACCAATCTACAGGAATTCTACAGGGAAGCTAGTTGGAGTTCAAGTAAAGATACAGGGATGATAGGTCCACCTTCCAGCAGGACCGTGATCATAAACAAGCCACACAGTCTTCAAAGATCAACAAACATCAGTCTGTAGATGTAAAACCAATAGTTCTGCAACTGTAAAGGCAACAAAAACTAACATCCAGCAGTTTTGCAAACCACACATTCCTGGGGGTTTTGTGTTTTTTGACTTAAAAAAAAAGCAAAAACTCCTGAATCCCGTTCCACTTTAGAATTATATGCTACCTTATGTTGAGTCCATCACATAAAATCCCAATGAAACACCTTAAGTTTGTGGTCCTAACGTGACAAAATGTGACAAAAGGGGGAAAAATACTTTTGCACTTCACTCTATTTATGTTTTTTACCTTTTCTTTAATATGGTACATTCTCAGTTACTTCACATGTAAAGACCAATATGGTGTTATTGTTAGATTCTGTAGTTTCTTTTTCTTGAAATGTCTTAATAAATCCATTCAGACTTCCTTACAGTCTCCTGGTTGAGCACACATATCAGATTTGAAGGGTTTAAACACATCAAACATAAAGATAAAGGCTTAAAGAGCCAACGACAGGCCTCCCTGGGAACAACTCACTCTACAAGATGAAGATGTTCCCTGTCAGAGTCTGGTTTTACATCCCGGATCAAAGCGAGTTACATTTCATCATTGAGTTATCACTGTTAGGGAGGTAAGTCGGGTTTCACCACAACACTGAAATAAACAGCAGCTGCAGGCTTGGTCAGAGGGGTGTTCAAAAATTACATAATGATGTTTTAACACACATGATTAAAGGAAGGATATGTTGTTTTCAGCACTTACTTGACTGTAGTTATTCACGTTAACACAAAGTATAAAATAAGGTAAAATTGAACAATCCATAAGTTTACAGTTAGAAAAAAAATATTTTTAATCTGATTTCCACAACCTGGACTGATTCTAAATCCATTTATAAAAAGAAATAATCCATCCATCCATCCATCCATCCATCCATCCATCCATCCATCCATCCATCCATCCATCCATCCATCCATCCATCCATCCATCCATCCATCCATCCATCCATCCATCCATTCATTGTTTATTCTTCTATTTTTGATCAACTTTACCAGGGATGTCATAATCAGTGTGGAGGTGCTGCAGTGTCAAGCAGAGAGGATTCTGCAGGTAATAACCCCATGAGGAGACCAGAGCTGAATCAGAGCTGAAGGCTGACCCCTGGCTGCCTCCCTTCCAATGCTCCCAGCTGAAGAAAGTCAGAGACAAAGGAAGGACAAAAGGATGGAGGGGTAAACAGATCATTCCTGCTCTTTGAAGATGTGAAGCAGCTTTATCTTTTATCTGCTCCCTCACAGGGCTTCTCTTGTTAGGACAATACATCTGAAGCCACTTTCAATAATAGCTAGCTTTACTTTACTGCTTCAAGTTCATGAATTTCAAAAAAATTATTTCCCAACTTCACCCAAGAGTGATTATCAGGCTATGCTTAACTTTTAAATTCAGGCTGAACTTACAAGAACGCACATCCTCAGGAGTTCATGTTCAGTTTCCACATCATGAATAGATCATGTAGATCAGTTCATATTTAATGTTGTGACATGGAGTGCAACACAATTAAATTCAAATAAATTCAGTTTAATTACATAGTGTCAATTCACAACACTTGTCATCTCAAGGCACTTTACAGTTCAACCAGATGCTAGAGTCAAACTGATTCAAAGTTTTCTATCTAAGGAAAAGCAGTTGATTGCATCGACTCATTGACTCCTCTGTAATCCCTCACACCAAGCATGCTTGTAGCGACAGTGGAGAGGAAAAACTCCCGTCTAGCAGGAAGAAACCTCCAGTAGAACTAGGCTCAGTGTGAGCGGCCATCTGCTGATGCCAACTGGGGTTCAAGGAGACAGAAGCAGAGATACAAAAGGAAACTGTCAACCACTTCGACAGGCGGCCCTGTCCAGGAAACACACAGCCAATCAGGATCCATTAGACTTTACAAAACATGAAGCTACTTTTAAACAGAAAAACAAAATCCTAAGTATCCACTTTTAGAGGCTTGCATTTTTATTCCACATGTTCTGCTCAGGTTTAGTCTTAGGTTGAGAGTCTGGGTTAACCAGTTTGATTTCTGTCCACCATATTCAGCTGCAGTATGAGGACGCTTTAGTTAAAGACAGATAAGTCTTTCCTGTCCTTTTTTCAATTACATCTTATTGATCGAAAGAGAGAAATTGCAGACACAAAAATATTTTATTTGAATATATATAATTTCAATTTTTCTTCTTTAAAGTTTTAGTTGAGTTCAAATGTTGCTGTTTTTTTCATTAAAATACATTTTCGCTTTATTTTTTGCCCTGCTAGGATACATCTGTTATCAGGTCATAAGCAAAAGGGAAGATGGAAAATAGTAAAAACTTAAACTCCAGAGTCAGAGATGATTGTTAGAAAGGAGGAGCAAAACATTGTCTTTCTCTACAGGTTTTGTTTTGTTCATAAACCTTAACAGCAATGTAAATTGGTACGATTTAAAAACGGGTTCCAGGTCGAAACAAATTGAAAATATCCTGGTCTCCAAGTCAGGTACAGAAGAAAAACAGAATCATCTTTAATAGGGAAACTTAATGGTTGTGTCTTTTTAGGGAGAAGTTGTTCCTTATCTGTATATGTTGCTGAGTTTAAAAGAAGATACTGCCTACAAGTGGTGTGGAAGAAAAATTATCTCTATTGTAACGTGTTGTTTGCAAAGAGCTCGTGATTAAAGCTTTATGTAGAAGTGTCAACAGAAATGTGTCACTGTCGTCTAAATGATGTTTAAATTTGCTCTGATCCAAAGAAGCAAAAAAAAAAAAAAAAAAAAAAAAACCATTGTAACATCGTGATTGGAAGTACAAGCAGGATTCCAGAGCACCTCCAAGTAGAGCTTGCTGACTGGAAGCTTGTTTGTACACAGAGTTAAACAAATGCACATAGAAAGCTGCTCTGTGACAACAGAATCAATCCAGCCGCTTCAGTCGAAAACTTTTCTAGATGTTAAATGCTGATGCTAAACTGTTCCCACTACTAAAACCCCTTCCTATTAGGGCAAACACCTGAAACAAAATTCAAAAAAGGTTAGTAGGGCTCCTCAATGAGAACTGTGTGCTGAAAACAATTAAACATCCTGAAACAGCACAATGTTTTCAGTTCAGCCCAAGAACACCACCATGAATAGAAACGCTGCAAGATCAAGTTCTTCACCAACCAAGGGCCATCCAGGCTCACCAACCGTCCCCCCCGTCTCCTCAACTTCAAACGGACACACACTCACCCCTCCTCTGAAACGCACAAAAATATCACCCGTGCACATAAACACCCCTGCTGACAATCAAATAAACCACCAGCCCATTTCATGGACTGTTTCGTCACAGCTGCACTACATGCTTACACCTCCATGTTTGCTTCCAAGGATGGAAATAATGCGGTGGGGGGTCCTCCTTTAAAGATGCTTTGGATATTATACTGTATATGCATACTCAGCTCAAAAGAAAATCAAAATTTCATAAAAAGTAAAAAAAAAAACAACATAAAATACTTGATTCTTCATAATGATCTGTTTACTTTCCAGCTTAATTGTGCAAATCCGAACTGATAAAGGGTTTAAGAGGTTAAAACTTTGTAAATTTGTGGGTGAGAAGTGTCTCAGATGCTTACCCTGCTGACAGCCTTCAAATAGCAGATATAGAAACAGAAGCCATTTTACAGAGGATCACAGAAGTATTGCATGTCTTCAGAAATGCTGTGTTTCTATTAATAAGAGTCTTGTAAAGAATGTATTGGGGTTAAAGTCATAGAACGTGTTATCAGGACCGTGGTCATGTTTATTGCTGCTTAAATTAAAAGAATATCTAGTTAAAGGGGACAATATCAAATGATCAGTGGTAGATCAGTAGTACTTGAGTGAAAGTACTGATACTCATAGTCAAATCTTACTGAACTACATGAAAAGTTACTCGATCAAACAAGTTAAAGTATTGAAGCACTCACTTTTGAAAATACTTAAATATTCCAAAGTACATACATTTCAATGTACTTAAGTATTGAAATATATAAATCAAACGTTCTAATATCAGTATATTTCTGTAATTTTAAAGTAATTTTCAGAAACCAGCTGATATATTGATGCGTAGACGCACCTGTTACAAATTCTACATCTCTTGGAAAGAGCTTCAGCTTGAAAATAAGGAAAGCTATGTTGATTATTTCTTTTTTTTATATATATATATATATATATCCACAAAGAAAACAGGAGTGACTTGATTGTCCTCACGCTTTCATTATCGAATAGAGGCATGAGGTTAAATCTATAACCACAAAGAAACCCAAACTCTGATTTGAAAACTCATCCTACTGAACAGCTTGGTCACATGGCAACAACTAACACCTCCATAAAATATATGAACTAATAATATCTGCCCTGAGTTTCTCATATTTGTTGAATGTCAAATCTCTAAAACAGTGGTGTCCAAATTCAGTCTGAAGGGCTGCTATCTAGCATGTTGAAATTGCATTTCAAGAAAAAACAAAAAAACAAAAAACGGCAACAGTGGATTGCGAAGCTTAGCTGAAACAAAAGGAACATGTAACTAGCAGCTTCACAGAAATGGAGTGGAGTAGAAAGTACAATATTTGACTTGAAATGTAGTGGAGTGAAAATTATAAGTAACGCCCCCCCCCAAAAAATACTGAAGTAAAGTGTCACTGTTTGGTTATGGTTTGTTGAGCCAAAAGCAGAGGCAGGGAGGCAGGTTTGAATTTCTTGAGGATTTAATAATGAGAATACTGAAAATAGAGGCAGGTAATCCAAAAATGAAAACAGAGTCCAAATAAACAGGAAACCAGGACTCCAATAATCCAAAAAGAAAAAAAAAGTCCAAACTAACATGAAACCAAGAGTCCAAAAATCCCAAAATCAAAACATGAAAACTAGTCAAAATGAACCAGAAAACACTGAGACATCAGGGCGATCAAAATCACAAGGAGGAAGGCTCAGAGAGACGGAGTTGGAAGAAGTTTGATGAGGACCCAGCAAAGAAGAACAGAACAGAGAGAGTATTTAAGGGAGACTGAGACAAAGAGAGGACTAATGAGCAGATAAAAACCTAGAAAACTGAAAAATAACTAGAAAACACAACAAAGAATTAAACCACTAAGACTATAAAACACAGAGCAAAGTAAAACTGAAAACTCAAAAGAAAACCATAACAGATCCTAGACTAAAACAGTAACTAAAAATTAACCAGAGAACACAGCAAAATAAAAATAAAACCACTAAAACTAGAAAACAAGGAGTAAAGTAAAACAGGACACTCATAAGAAAATATAACATAACCAAGATTAAGACAGTAACTGAGAAAAACCAAAGGATACAATAAACTAAGAATTAAACCATAAAAAATAGAAAACAGGGAGTAAAGCAAAACTGAACATCCAAAAGAAAAACAAAACAGA